CTATGATAATAATAAGACATAAATAAGTGAAATAACTGAATTTTCAATACAATAACCCAAGGAATGGTAGTACAAGTCATGAACCATTGAGATTTAGATTTACAAAGCTAGTATAAAATTTAATACAACATCGGTTTGGAATATACATGTTACACCCCACATACAAAATGAAAAGATTTATGAGGTTTAAGTACAACCAACCAAATAGTGGCACGATGTCGGGTAGAAGAGGCAACTGCATTCGACCAGATTACGCCAACTGTCCCACATGGCACAATAGCCGAAGCGGGGTGACCCATTTTTCATGTGGAGTGGGAGAATTTCCTAGAACCTAGTATAGTATAAAAAGACAATATAGTTCTTCCTCACTTATTCTAGAAGATATCATCCATTTTAATTAGTTTATCCCCATGCTCTAAAACCCCCATTAGAATTGTCCAAACGTTCTAAGGCTAAATCAAAGGTAAATCCAGCATGATTTAGCGTGAGAAAGCTTTAATCATCATTGTCATAACTATTGCCTTGTTGTATTGATTCTGGAGTTTCGTTAGAAGCAGAAGTGTCACTAGTTCTTCAAAAAGGTATGTACGATAACTTTCTTTTTTGGCATGGCTTGGTCTGAGCATCTCTCTATCTCCTTTAAATATTTTCTATGTGGTGATATTGGTCTGTTCTAAGGTCTTTTCAATAACGTTGCTTCTTTTCTTATAAATTCTCGCCGGTAATGTCTCTCTCAAGTTGAAGTGCTTATCGATAATATTCCGAAGTCAGAAAATATGATTCATTTTGAGTTTAGTTTTAGTATCTCTTCAAATTGACTATGTATTTCACTTATATATATGTATCTATTTTACTTTACCGAGTCACGCTATAATCAGTCGGGTATGATACCTATTGTGCAACCACTAATCAGTTGGGTATGATGAGACGTGATATGAGATATTACTAAGCCCTTATGTAGTTGGGTCCGATGATGTTTGAGCCTACCGGGTCCTTTTGCGTCGAACTACGTCGAGTTCTGTTGAGGCCGGTTACAGCCGAGACCTCCTAAGGCTGGGTATGACCGAGTCCTCTAGGAGGTCGGGTATGGAACAATGTGTGATGTGTGGCTACCGATCCCTCTTGCGGCCGACTATGCCGAGTCCTGTTGAGGCCGGGTATAGTCGAGACCTCCTAAGGCCGGCTATGGGGTGAAATGTGATTATATGCCCCAAAGCATGGTTGTATGTGTGTGTGTGTATATATATATATATATATATATATATATATATATATATAAAATTAATGCATGGCCCCAAGGAGTGGCTTGGTTTTACAAAAGCTTGCATACATTCATGATTCATGGTTATGGCAGTGTACCCCTCAGTGGCTTGTCCACGGTAACAATGTTAAGCTTGTGTATTTCTATCTATTATGTTATGCCGTTGATTTATGCATGTTATCCGTTCTACATACTCAGTACATCTTTCGTGCTGATGCCCCTTTTCCTTTAGCACTGTGTTCATGCCCACATGTACAGATAGACCCGATGACGTCCCTCCCCAGCTAGGTGTTTGATCCAGCTAATTGGTTGTGCACTCCACTTGTTCGGAGTAGCTGTTCAGAGGTTGATAGGTACCAAAGTGCATATTATAGTTATTTTGGATATGGTGGGGCCCTTTCCCGACCAAAGATGTGTATATGTATTATGTTTTGACACTCTTTGAGGCTTGCAAGCTAGACTAGGGGTTGGGTATATATAAAATATGGTTGTGACTCTGATGGCAACGATGTATTTGTGTATGTGTAAATATATCAATGCTAAAGTCACATTCACAGTCAAAAGTGTGCATTTTAAATTTTGGTACTATTACTTGGATGCCTTGTTGGCCCAGTTTTCATGTTAAGAGAGTCTAAACATGGACTTCGGTTTGCATGGGTCTTCAGGCGTCGTGTGTCGGTCGCACCTCCCAAGGTTGGGTGTGACAAACTTGGTATCAGAGTAGGTTTGTCCTAGGGAATCTACATGCCTTATCTAGTAGAGTCTTGCTTATGAGTTTGTTGTGCACCATACTTACAAACAGGAGGCTACGTGAATACCTTTTCTTCTAACCTAGATCGTGCATTAAAGTGTGATCGTAAGTATTCGTTTCTAATTCCCATATCGTTTATGTTTATAGCGATGCCTATCACAAGAAATTAGGCAATTATTCATGGATTGAATGAAGAAGGAGGAGAAGGTACAAGCCAGGTGCCGCCTGCCCCTATGGGTCAATGCAGACCCTACAATGAGGTTAATACCCAGGTTTCTGGAACAACCCCAATACTCCCAGAACGAAAAAGAGAAGCTAATGTGCCTTTTATTCATCCCCCAGTTGTTCCTAAACAAGATCTAGATATGAGAAATGCTATGCAGTTGTTGACTAGATTAGTAGCCTCTCATGCCCAACGTCAGGCCCCTGCCACCTCAGATAGAGCGGTAAGTACGAGGGTTCGGGATTTCATAAGTTTGGACCCCTGGTATTTATAGGAATAGATCCAAACGAAGATCCCCAGAATTTGCTAGATCAAATACAGCGGACCTTGAGAGTTATTCATGCCAATAATGCGGAGTCTGTAGAACTTGCCTCATTCAGATTGTTGGATATTGTTGTGATTTGGTATGAAGCATGGGAGCAATCTAGGGGACCTCTTGCTCCACCAGTATGATGGAGGGAATTTTCTGAGGCATTTCTCCAGCAGAATTTGCCTATTGAGCTTCGTCGAGCTAAGCAAGATATATTCTTACAGCTGGAACAAGGGAACATGAGTGTCGGGAGTACATCATGCAAATTCAACTCCTTGGCCAAGTATGCTCCTTTGGTTGTGGCAGAGATGAGTAATAGAGTACATAGGGTTGTGGGTGGTCTAGGACCCCATCTGATTAATGAGTGTACCACTGCTACTCTGAGTTATAATATGGACATAGCTCGAATTCAAGCTTGTGCACAGAGTTTGGAGGATCGAAAAAGGCAACAACGAGCTGCTCGAGAGCACGATCAGGGCCAACATAAGAGAGCCCAATCTATAGGTGATATGGGTGAGTCTCGAGGTGATTTTAAACCTTGATCGGTTCACTCAATCCAGTCAAGGTCAGAATCCCTGAGGTCAGGGTTCACAATATAGTGGGGACCATAGTAGTATGAGGCCAGCGATACCGCATTGTGGTTGATATGGTAGGAATTATTTTGGAAATTTCCGCAAGGGTTCATATTTATGTTACTCTTGTGGGCAGCTCAATCATAGTATGCGCTATTGCCCAGCGAGAATTATGGGTAACATGATGCCACCAACAGGATTGACAGTAACTTTGTCATCCTCGGCACGCCCTCATGAGCAAGACACACAACTGTGGATAGGAAGGGGTAGAGGTAGAGGTGGAGTATCCAACTCGGGAGGACAATAAAATCTTGTTTATGCATTAGCGGGATGACTATAATTTGGAGTCTTCTCCAGATGTGGTTACATGTATATTATATGTATTCTCCATAAATGTGTATGCTTTGATAGATTAGGCTCCACCTTGTCGTATATTTCTCCATTTGTTGCTAGTAAATGTGGTAAAAAGCCAAAATGGTTACATCTGCCGTTTGAAGTGTCCCCGCCCGTAGGTGAGTTTGTGATAGTTAGATCAGTATATCGAGGTTACGATGTGATGATTCATGACCGTCATACCTTAGCTGATTTAAATGAATTAGAGATGATGGAATTTGATGTCATTATAGGGATGGACTGGCTGCCTTCGTGCTATGCCAACATGGATTGTTGGGCGAAAGTTGTTCGCTTTAATTTTCCAGGAGAACTCATTATTTAATTGAAGGGTGATGCTGAAGTGCCACGAGGAAAGTTTATTTCTTACCTTAATGCTCGGAAGATGAATGTGAAGAGGTGTATCTATCACTTGGTGCGAATGCAGGATGCAGAGGCAAATCCTCCCACCCTCCGGTCGGTTCCGGTTGATAGTGAATTTCCCAATGTGATTCATGATGAGATTTCGGGTAACCCTTCTTGAGAGAGAGATTGAGTTTGCCATCGTTCTACCCCCCGACATCGAACTGATATCTATTCCTCCGTATAGGATGGCTCTTACCGAGTTGAAGCAATTAAAAGATTAATTGAAAGATCTTTTAGATCAGGGATTCATCCGACCCAGTACTTCCCCGTGGGGAGATCCAGTGCTATTTGTTAGCAAGAAAGACGGTTCATTAAGGATGTGCATCGATTATCGACAGCTGAATAAGGAAAACATTAAGAACAACTATTATTTCATGAAGATCAGTGATTTATTTGATTAGTTGCAAGGCGCTAAGTATGTTTTGAAGATTGACCTCAGATCTGGGTATCATTAGTTAAGAATCTAGGAAGAAGATATATCGAAGACTACCTTTAGGACCAGATATGGCCATTATGAATTTCTCATTATGTCTTTTGGACTAACCAACGCACTAGCGGCTTTTATGGATATGATGAATCGAGTATTTAGTCCATTCTTAGATATCTTTGTGACCGTGTTCATAGACCTTATTTTGGTGTATTCTCAATCGAAAGTAGAGCATGCAGAATATTTGTGAAAGGTCCTACACACATTCTGAGATCACAAGTTGTACGCCAAGTTTACCAAGTGCGAGTTCTGGCCGAACTCGGTCTTTTTTCTTGTGCATATAGTATCCGACGAGGGTATCAGTGTGGAAAGTCAAAAGGTCGAAGCGGTTAAGAATTGGCCAAGTCCCACAACTCCTATCGAGGTGCACGATTTCTTGGGCTTAGCCGGTTACTAATGAAGGTTTGTGGAAAATTTCTCGTCTATAGCTACTCCATTAACAAAGTTAACGCATAAGGCAGTGAAATTCCGGTGGACCGATGTCTGCCAGAAGAGCTTTGAAAAGTTGAAGTAAATGTTAACATCGGCGCTTGTTCTAACTCTTCACGAAGGACGCGGGGGATAAGTTGTATATTCTAGAGTGGGCTTGGACAGTGTTCTAATGCAACATAGAAAAGTTGTTGCTTATGCATCGAGGCAACTAAGGAAACTGGAGCAGAATTACCCCACTCATGACTTGGAGCTAGAAGCCATTACATTTGCCTTGAAAATATGGCGTCACTATCTGTATGGAGTTCATGTCGACATATTCACTGATCACAAGAGCTTGCAGTACATATTCAAGCAAAAAAATTTAAATATGAGGCAACAGAGATGACTTTAATTGTTAAACGATTATGATGTTGATATCTTGTATCACTCCGTGAAGGTAAATATTGTGGCTGATTCATTAAGTCGGAAGTCCATGGGTAGCATAAGACATGTGGAAGATTATATGTTGGAAATGACTAAGGACTTGTACTGGTTGGCTAATTTAACGATTGCTCAATATCGGTAGCGAAGGAGCCATAGTCCGAAATGCTGCCGAATCTTCGGTAGTAGCTGCAGTAAAAGCACGGCAATTTGATGATCCAGCCTTGGTGAAAATAAGAGAAATCATTCCCTTTAAAAAGAAGCAAGTGTTCGAGCTATCCGAGGACGGGGTCCTTAGATACCAGGACCGATTATGTGTGCCTGATGTTAGAGGACTCCAAAGGCAAATCATGATAGAGATTCTCCAATCCTGGTATTCTATTCATATGGGGTCAACCAAGATGTATCCCGATCTTCGACAGCTATATTGGTGGAACGGCATGAAGAGGAACATCGCTGAATACGTCACTCAGTGTCCAAGTTGCCAACAAGTTAGGGTTGAAAACTAGTGACCAGGAGGATTGCTTCATAATATTGAAGTTCCAACCTGGAAATGGGAAATGATCAACGTGGATTTTGTTATCGGATTACCACAATCACGCCGAAGATTTGATTCCATATGGGTTATCGTAGATCGGCTCATCAAATCAGCTCATTTCCTACAAGTGAAGACCATATTTTCAGCTGAAGATTATGCCAAGCTATACATTAAGGAAATAGTTCAACTTCATGGGGTTTCGATTTACATGATATCAGACATAGGTGCCCAGTCTATAGCTAACTTCTGTAGATCATTCCAAAAAGGACTGGGTACAAAATTCAACCTCAACACAGCTTTCCATCAGCAAACAGATGGTCTGACCGAATGCACCATTTAGAATCTCTAGCACATCCTACGAGCTTGTGTTTTTGATTTCAACTAAAGTTGGGAAGATCGTCTACCACTCATCGAGTTTTCCTACAACAAAAGCTATCATTCTAACATTCGGATGGCACCATATGAAGAAATATACGGACGGAAGTGTAGATCTCCTATCGGTTGGTTTGAAGTTGGTTAAACAAAGTTATTATGTCCTGAGTTGGTACAACAGGCTGTAGAAAAAGTGTAGATGATTCAAAGTCTATTATTGACCTCTCAAAGCAGGCAAAAGTCTTACTCAAATAACCGATGAAGATATTTGGAGTTTGCCGTGGGAGATTGGGTATTTCTAAGGGTGTCACCAATGAAAGGCGTGATGAGGTTCGGTAAGAGGGGTAAACTCAGTCCTTGGTATATTGGGCCATATCAAATTATTTAGAGAGTTGGTCAAGTGGCTTATAAGCTTGAGTTGCCCCCAGAATTGCAAGCAGTGCATCCGGTATTCCACGTGTCCATGCTCCGAAAGTTCTCGAGTGATCCATCTTATATTACACCTATTGAAGATATCCATGTCACGGAGAACCTATCCTACGAAGAAGTTCCGGTGACTATCCTAGATCGTCAAGTATGTAAGCTACGATTCAAAGAAGTAGCTTCAGTTAAAGTACTTTGGAGGAACAATAATAAAGAATAATTTACTGGGAAGCTGAAGAAGATATGAAATCCCGGTATCCCCATTTGTTCCATGCAACGAGAAGCAACAGTGAAACTACTACGACGGGCTCCACTCATAATGACTAAAGAACTCTACAAGGAATGACTATGATTCAATATTCGAGGATGAATGTTTCAAAAGGGGAATGATGTTACACCCCACATACAAAATTGAAAGATTTATGAGGTCCAAGTACAACCAACCAGATGGCGGAACGTTGTTGGGCAGAAGAGGCAACTGCATGTGACCAGATTTCGCCAGTTGTCCCACCGGGCACAACAGCCGATGCGAGGTGACCCATTTTACAAGTGGAGCGGCGGAATTTCCTATAGCCTAGTATAGTATAAAAAGGGAATATAGTTCTTCCTCACTTATTCTAGAATATATCACCCATTTTAGTTTATCCCCCATGCTCTCAAACTCCCATTAGAATTCCCCAAATGGCCTAAGGCTAAAACGGAGGTGAATCCAACAGGATTTAGCATGAGGAAGCTTTAATCATCACTGTAATATGTTTGCCTTCTTGTATTAATTCTGGAGATTCGTTAGAAGCAGGAGTGGCACTAGTTCTTCAACAAGATATGTAGCACAACTCTCTTTCTTGGCATGACTTGGTATGAGTGTTTATCTGTTTTACTTTACCGGGCTGCGCTATAGTCGGACGGGTACCGCACCTATTGGGGAACTACTAATCAGTTAGGTATGATGAGACATGATATGAGATATTACAGAGCCCTTGTGTGGCTGGGTACGATGATGTGTAATGTGAAGCTACTGAGTCCTATTGCGGCCGACTACACCAAATCTTGTTGAGGCTTGGTACAGTCGAGACCTCCTGAGGCTGGGTACGACTAAGTCCTCTATGAGGCTGGGTATGGAATGAAATGTGATGATATGCCCCAGAGAGTGTTTGAATATGTGCGTGTGTGTATGTGTGTGTGTGTCTTTCTCTCTCTCTCTCTCTCTATATATATATATATATATATATATATATATATATATATATATATATATACACACACACACACACACGATAGGGGATTCAAGAATTACTAAAAAAGAATAAGAAAATCAAGAAACGTGCGGAAGGTAAAAAATATAGGGAAACGAAAAGAAGATGAAAATTAACGATATATTGAATTCAAGAAAGAGTTTCTTGAATTCAAGAAGTCTATTCTTGAAGTTGAATCCTAACAACAACAATTAGCTAACGAAGAACTAATCGCCTTTAATAGAGAATTAAAAACAAGAGGTAGATTATGAAACCCAACCCTTTAGAATAACAAGAACAATAATAAGCCTAAACTTATCACCTTTATTGAATACCTAGAAGTGATCTAATATTTCAAAAAGTGTTTAATCTTACCACTTTAAGTTAAGTCTTGAAGGTTGAAGAATAAATCCAAGAGTATCCACACAAAAGTGCAAGAAAAATCTCACAATTTTATTGATAATAATATGTAATAATCTAAGTCTAAAAATAAAGAAGACACCACTTATATATGTCAAGCCCCGAACCTGGGGCCTAGACCAGCACCCGGTGCCTCACTTAATATAGCATGCCAACTTGTGACTGAGGAACTCTGAACATACAATGTCATACTTTTGCCATGCAGCCACATTGCAAGACAATTTGCGAAGCAAAATATAAAACATAACGGAAACTAGCTTTGACTAAAGATCAATATAAAGATGGGCCGATAAGGACATCATAACTACTACAACTGACAAACCAACAAAATATACATACAAAGCCTACAAGCCGAACATGCTGCACTAACTGACACGATATGTCTACAAGCCTCTACTGATGGATGTACTGTAATCGGAACAGGGCCCCGACCTACCCATAACATATATATACAATATGTACAAAAAACCCTAGATCCGGAAACTCCGAAGGATGTGGATCTTACCGATCGGGCTGAACTCGGGAAACACCTACTGACGAGGTCTACCCGTCTGTCTATCTGAACCTGCACGCATGAAATGCAGCGTCCCCAGAAAAGGGACGTTAGTACGAAATAATGTACCGAGTATGTAAGGCAATAAAATAGCTGAAAGCTAAAACTGAACTGATAATATAATAACTAAAAGTAACTGGGAGTCAAAGATGATCTAGAGATATACTTATCTGCTGATACCGACTCAACTCCTTCAATATATTAAGTAAAATAAATGTCCGGCCCTACTATGCTCGGCAGTAGTAGGCTCGCTCATAGGCACTCAGCCATACTAGGCTCTGTATCTCGGCCATCCCGGGCTCGCTCATAGGCGCTCGGCCATAGTAGGCTCGGTATATAACTTACCATCTGATCAGAGGTTGCCCAATAGGGGCCTGCCCACCGATTATAGCTCGATGGTAGTGAAATTACTGTAATACTATATATATATATATATATATATATATATATATAGATACCCTGTACTCTCTTGACTGGAAGAAGACAATACTCAATTGAATATAAAGTCCCGATAAGGGAGAATATTGTAACTTATGAGACTAGGATAATGTATATAAATTCGGGAGTATGAACTTCTCTTTATGCCTCGTTATCAAACGCATGTAGTTACGAGATCATGCCAAAATAAAGGAAGGGCTTAGCCTTAACATACATTATCACAATCTTTCCAATCACCAAGTTGAACTCGCCTCTTATCACCTTAATCTACAATAACGATAATAATACTATCATTAAGTTACGAAAGGTACAACTATCGCACAACGAACGACAAGCTTATTTTGTATTAAAACGGGCAGCATCTCCCTTATAATCCTTACTTTCTCCAAATTCAAGATAACACCAATAACACAAGTACACAATGATAACAATATATATACATTATTTTCCAACCTTATATACACCACAAAATACTACAAAATATCCCAACACTCCCCAATCTCTTCATACACAAAATGACCACCGTAGTAGTGTCAAACAGCCCGAAAAAATTATGACGAACGACCAGCCCACCACCCTGCATTTATGTGGTGTTTCTCCACACCCTTCCTCCTCCAAAACTCTACAATACAGTAGTAAAACATGCAGCCCAACAGAAACACAAAATAGTCCACAAAACAGTCCGCTACAAGTGAATAACTCGAAATCACGGCTTCTGATCACCGTCCCGTGAGTTCTTACAAATATAGAACGACTTACCATGCATTTACAGCGGACAAAAATGGATGAAAGAGAGCAGTAAACATACCTTATTTGTTGGATAACTCAGCTCCTATCTTGGTTCTTCAAACTCTAGGTTTTACCTCCAATTAGAACTTGAAAGGGAGAGAAAATTAATTAGGGTTTGTGGGCAATTTTTGGGAGAATTTTTGCAGAGCTTATGTCTGGTTATTATTCCCTATTATTAGTCTAATATATGAAGGAAATAGGCATTTAAAAGGCCTCTTTAGACGACCCGAACTGGCCCATTTTCGGACTCTCATTTAAGCAACTAGGTGACACACCTACTTGTCACCTAGCAGCTTCCACAGTCTCACAAAAATGCATATATCTCTCTACTCAGATGTCGTATTGACAAACAGTTCAATGATCTAGAAACTAGACTCATAGATCTTCAATATGATTGGTGGAACACCCCATAACTCTAAGTATATTGGGAGAAAATCGTAGTTACATTTGACCCAAAGTTTCAGTAAAACTTATGAATGTAACTTGTGATGGCTTTCATCGACTTTTGTTCCACAACTCGCTTGACTTAAAAACATAATACACGACTATCATACGACTAACATAACTCATAACATAACCTCCTTATCATGTTAAGCACCCCAGTCTCACCCAAAAAGTACATGTTATAACATTCCCAACTTGTCGACTTTCAACGAAACATTATTTTCTTCAATTCCTTTAGCTTCTGAACCTTCCAACCCTCTTTTTACTTGTTGTTCATGATCTTCAGCATTTGTAACCTCT